CTGCTCTCCCACCATTCAGATAAAAACTCAAAAATTAAATATCGATTTAGCTATCCTTCCATGCTGATCTCCAATGCCATAGAGGTATATATCTCGTCGCCTAGCTTTCCAATGCCATCGAGGTCTATATCGTCATCTAACTTTCTGCGATTCCAAAGTGTAGAGATGACATCAAGGTATTTGTTATGGGTTTTTGGATTTTTTTTATATATATTCATAGGATGAAAGTTGATGAGTAAATTATATCAGATCAGTTTGGAAACTTAAATCTAGCTAGGAGTAGCAAAATCATTCAATTTAGAGGCGATCCGTGAATATTTGTTAGGCATTGCGTCAGCTATTTATTTGAATAATGGAGTATGTGACGGGATATTAGGAAAACTATTAGGAATCGTAACCTATTTATTTAGCATTACATGACTGAATATTTGTTGAGCATTACGTGACTTGTTTGTAGGCATTGCGTGACTTTAGCTCCTTAATTCTGAAGGTGATTATCTATTGATTCAACCAATTCAACCCCCTTAATTGCACTTATATCGACATTCAAAAAAAAGAATTGCACTTATATCGTGTGAAGAAAACAAAGAGTTAACATTCATGCTTATAAATAAAGGGAACCATTAACCATTTTAATCAAAATAATCTAAAGTAAAAACTAAAAATGGCATCTAAAGGTTCAAGAGGCGATAGGGGGAAAGGGGTAGGCACTGGAGGGCCTACCCCCCAAATGCGTGGAAGGGCTACCGCCTAAATCCATGGTCTGTTTAACAGATGCGAGCAATTACGTGCTCTGATGGTCTGACTCGAGCAGATGGATTTGGAGATGCATGCCCAGTTGCAAGACTTGGTGGTCAGGCTAGAAGTCGTTGAGACGGAAATCCTGGTCAACAACAAGATTCTGGCCGAAATTTATGAATTATTAGATGAAATTAGGAAGAAATGAACTACGGTTCATTTCTTTTTTTTGGTATCATCTCCTTTAAGTTTGGTCAAGTAATAAAAGAAAATTTTTCATTACTGTCTTCTTACTTTATTTTATTTTTATATTATGCTGAATAACCTAGCTTATTTTTTATTTTTTATATTATTGTCTTTATTTTCTATATCTATTCTATTTATATAAGAGAAGCAAACGTGAGTGGATGTTAGGCATTGCTTGACCTATTATTAGGTATTGTGAGACTAGGTTATAGGCGCTGCGTGAATTGTGCAATGCATATTTTCCATTGAGACATTGCGTGAGTGGTTTTTATGTATATGGTGAGTTGTTGTTATGTATTGCGTGACGTTGGGGCAGTACGTGACTAGTTATGTTGGCATAACGTGAGTGGATATTAGGCATCGAGTGACTTATTATTAGGTATTGCGAGACTGAAAGTGCATGACTTGTGCAATTTATCTCTCGGTTTAAGGCTTTTGTTAAGTAGTTTGTAGGCATTGCATGACTAATTTTATGTATTGCGTAACATTGGGCTGTTACGTGAGTGGTTATGTTGGCAAAATGTGAGGAGTTCTTTCTTTTTTTCAATGGGCTCCATGCATAAGGCGTTTCTGAGAATAGGTATCCCCATATTACGCATTGAGTGACTTATTATTAATATTAGGTATTACGAGAGTGGAGGTGCGTGGCTTGTGTAATTCATCCATTGTTTAGAGGCTTTTTTTCAATTGTTTGTAGACATTGTGTGACTGATTTTTATGTATTGCATGACCTGTTGTTATGTTTTGTGTTACATTAGGCTATTACGTGACCGGTTATGTTGGCATCATGTGTGAGTTGATGTTACGCATTGAGTGACTTATTATTAGATATTGCGAGACCGGCGGTGCGTGACTTGTGGAATTCATCACTTGTTTTGAGGCTTTTGTTAACTAGTTTTTAGACACTACATGACTGTTTGTATGTATTACGTAACCTGTTGTTATGTTTTGCATGACATTGGGCCGTTATGTGACTGGTTATGTTGGCATAATGTGAGTGAATATTACACATTAAGTGACTTATTATTTGGTATTGCAAGACTGACGGTGCATGGTTTATGTAATTCATCTCTTGTTTTGAGGCTTTTGTTCACTAGTTTTTAAGGTCTGCATGAATGTGTATTAGAATACGACACTTATTTTCTATTAAATTTCAATGGCCTACGAAATATGACTTAGGCATTGTGTAAGTTTTTTTTATGAATTGAAGGGTCAATTTTGATAAATTGATTGATTGTGACACTTATTTTCTGTTAAATTTTAACGACCTGCCAAATATGAAGCTTATGATTACATACGGTGGTCATTGGGTCTATACACTTACAAGGGTGGTGAGATACGAGTGAGGGGTGTTGGGAGTGAGTTGTCATTTTTCGGCCTAGTGAAGCTGGTTGAAGTGGTTGTTAGGGTCAGCTCACATAATATTGAAATGGAGCTACATGCATTGCTCAGTCACGCTGCAGGCCTTTCGTGTGCAGTTATTAAGGATGATGAAGATGTAGCAAGTATTTTGTGAGATGAGAAGGCAATTGTTGTGTTTGTGATAGTTAAGGCAAGAAATGCAAACGATATTCCACATGATCTTGGTATCGAACATAATAATCACCTACAACAGAATGTTAATTATTCTAACATACCACACCATGCATTTCCGAACCAACAACCATGGCAATCACGTTTGACGTATCCTAATGAGTTTGAGCAGGTTGGCACGCACATGAGGTGTCTGCACAATTTTGATTGGAATGTGGATCGAACGAAATACTTGGTACTTTGCAACAAACGCCACTGTCGCCCGGAAATCCATTGGGTCCATTGTCATTCGCACAAGACACTGTAATGGTTGTGAGTGATGAGGATGCATTTGATCAGATTGAAGATGAATTAGTAAAGGACGACACGACGGATTGGAACCATGAGTTGCATGATGATTGTGAAGATGATGACGTTGGTAGACATGATGACGGTTCAGAAGATGACAGGGGTGAGTACACCGACATTCAGGATTGCAATCATGCATATGGTAGTACAAGACACTCCACAACTATTGTGTTAGAAGAGGTTCAGTTCGACAACCATGCCACAACTATTGAATTAGAAGATGTAGAGGGTGTCGACCCTATTTACGACAACGACATCGTACTTGATAAGGACATTTGTTCGCTTGATGACAGTGTCAAGATAGGGTAAATACAGGGGTATTTCGTCAATGGATTATTCCCAGGATAAATATGATATCCTTCAAAACAGTTGCGACTCATGAATCCAGATCAATTGACGACCACTTATATCGAAGGTCAAATTGAAACGAGCTTTGAGCATGTTGGCACTAAAAGAGCATTTTGAGGTTAGAGTTAAAAAGTCATGTCACGCTCATTTACTTTGTACAACTTCTCACGTATCACATGTAGATGCGACCACTTACAGTGGATGTTAATGCCAACGTTGAACCCCCATTGGTGCCTCGGCACACAAAGCAAAGATTCCACATTATGCTCCTCTGTTCCTGTGCTGGCCATCTGTAACATAAAACAAAAAACTTTCCTATTTTAGTCAAGTTAATACCATCATTGTATATTAACAAAAAAAAAAGAATTTTTGAGAAATAACCCTCTTCAGAAGCTCACTCCAAATATAACCCTTTCAATAATTTCAATTGTTTTTAGACAGCCCTAAAACAGTATAATTAAAGCAAGTGTCGAATATGGATTATTAAGTAAATCAACATATACATATTAAAGCATTACAGTTGACCCAAAAAAAACAGACCTATCAAGTAGTCACGCAGTGTTAAACCCTTATGCAATCAGGCATAGCCTAAGAATTGTCACACCTCATTAAATTCACGCTGTCATGCAATGATTTATCATTAGCTAACGCAATGACCTATCAACCAATCACACAATGATTTATCATTAGGTAATGCAATGACCTATCAACCAGTCATGCAATGTTAATCCTTAATGCAACCATGCACACCCTAACCCCATGCCAACATCTAGTCACCTTGTCACGCAATGACCTTTCAATATGTCACGCAATGACATATCAATCAGTCACGCAATGTTAAACCCTACTGTAGTCACGCAATGTTAACCCCTACTGCATTCACGCACACCCTCAGTGACCATGGCAAAATCTTGTCATGCATAAGGTGCCAACCACATAAAACCTAAGCAAGCCCTCTATACGCAATATCTAATTCCTTAAACCGAATCATATCAAAAGGTTATAACGCATACATATCAACCAGTCGCGCATGCCCGTTCATCTTTCCACCCCAACAACACCAACAATACCACCTTCATGTTTACATTCAACAATTTCAAACAATAAGAATATCAATATGAACAAGCAATATGTATAGGTTTATGCTCAAGACCCTAAACCGAAAACATGAAGAATAACCATTTCTCCACATTAATCAAAATATAATAAATATATATATATACCTTTTTCCGCGTTATGTGAACTTTTTCTCACTGCTCAATATGTGAAAACCCTTTATACGAATAATAACCAATTCAAAATGCTCCTACCACTACAAAAATGCTTGAAAGTTGAACTGACCAGGAATGCTTTCGACAGAATTGCTTTTAAGGAGATATACGATCTGTCGTTGAGAACTGAGCAGTTATGGACCATATAAACTTACTTGACTCGTTAATAGATTTCGAGTTGATGCACGGATCCATCGAATGGGTTGATTTCACTAAGTACTTTTTTGTCTAAATTTTATTTCTTTTGACTAAAAATAATTAAAATTATATTAAAACTTATTTTTCAAAATGTTTTATACATGAAGCCCATTTAAAAAAAGTACTCTTTAAAGTTTTACAACCATGATGAACCATATGGGTAAGTTTGGCCAAGGCCTTATAATTACCAAAAGTAAAGAGCCAAACTTTGCTTCCAAGGGAATTATATGAAGGAAAGACAAAGTGTGACGAAAGGTTCAGAGTTCTCTAGTTTCATTTCATCCTTTACCTACAAAGGCATCTCGATACGTAATGGGATGGTCACAAGGCCATGCTTGAAAACAAATTTATAAAGAGAGTAATAATTAGATTTTCAAAAATAAATAAGAGAAAATACCAGAACTAGTACAATTCCATAGGCGATACGAGTTGAAGGCTCATCCTAGCCAACTTTCAACTCCATGAACAGAAATTAATACAATTCCAAATGCTTTTCTATTCCTTCTTCCTAGAATCTTTCAGTTGCCCCCTCTTTCGAATGTTGAGACAAAAGCGAAAACGCCATGCATCAACCGCACTCTCTGGCAGTGAAGAAGCCAAGCCCCAGAGGATAGAATGGGGCCAGTAGGGTGTGCAACGAGGTTCGTAGCCTATCCAGCGCATTGCTGCCTGAGCATAACCAGCTGTTGATGGAACAAAGAAAGAGGATCTTTTGATCGATGCCATCTTGGTAGCTACATACAATGGAACCTGCATGAAGAAAACACTTGATTGATCAGAGAAAAAAATAGTAGTAGTCAAGGCATAGAGTCCAGCAGCTCTCAGTGTCTGTGACAACTAAGTTATCTGGAATTTTGGTGATAAAGGAGCAAAATTTTGTGACCTGCAGTTTTTGTCATCTTTCCTAAATACTTAATAGAAGTTCAACTTCTCTCTCATGATTATACATATGGATAGACTATAACTCCCCCCTAAATGAACATGGACCTCTCATCTGTTTTGTCTGTAAATCACAAAGTAACCTTAGATGCCGAGGCTAAAATTAATTTTGTCAAGATTTAGGCCTGCTGATACACATGATAACAAAATCACAAGTCATAACAGTCACCAATCCAGTCAGTTTTACTGGCATGTTCTGCACTTGCTATTTATTCTCATCGCATTCACCTTATCACAGAAATCTTTTGATCATCTAAAAGTATTATCAGTTGAAGGAGGGGAAAGTCATAGAAAATTTGGTGGATCAAACAAATCGGAGATTGCCCTTCAAAAATAAATAAAAAAAAAGAATGGGAGATTAAGAACCAATGATATCAAAACAACTAAATTTCAAAAAAGAAGTACAAAGCTCTAAAAGGTGTTGGGAGTTGGGGAGTACAGAGTTTTCCTAAAATCTAATGCAAAAATTAATGATCTATAGATGGCAGCATGCATGATTATTGAGTGCTTTCTCATAAGTGAATGACAGGAACCTGGAATTAATTTCATAGCATTATAAAGAAAAACAAAAAATTCATTGTGGCAGCCACCTTCTACAGTATATGGAGGCTTGGAAATTTGCTTTGTGCCAATAACTTTGGTTAAACTTATAAACATGAAAGCAGGTGATAGAAATAAGTTTAAAAACCATCCAGTTGCCTCACATATGGTAACCATCATGTATTGTGAGCACAATTTCTTAATATACTCATTATAATAACATCCAATATAAAAGAAAGTGAAAGTGACTGAAGAAAAGGGTCCAAAACAGTAAACCTTTACTTCTTCCCAAGGAAATTAGCTAATATAAATTTTTTAATATTCCAGGTTTCTTAAATAACAAATATTGGCCGTACTAAGTTCAACAAGTAAATCAAACTTGTGGACATTTCTGGTCAAGTTGATAAAATAAAATGTCTTTCTAAAGAAGAAAATGAGATAAAAATCTGTACCTAATTTCTAGTAACTTATCAGAACAAATAGATTGCATGACCTCCATTTTCATTTAAAAATCTATCTTATGACAAGAGTCGAATTTCACTATATATTGGCAAATCAAGGCGTTTATGAGTAGAGTATCTTCCTGTATTTTCTATATAGTGGTATTTTTTTTAAAATTGGGGGAACGAGTACTCAAACCCTGCTCTTAGACAAGGGATCACGCACCAACCAATGAGCCAAATGCTCGGATGCAAAAGACATTCAATATTGAATCATTGATTACTTATGGCCAGCTGTTTCTAACAAATGACAAAGGGGTGTATAAACTTCTAATAATCAAAATTTGAAATAGTAAAAAGGCATACCGATTAGACTAATCCATATCCAGAGTCCTACTATTACCTTTACTATCAATTAAGGCATAAGGGTAAAAACCGTTCAAGTTCCACTAAAAGCCTCACTCTCTAGCTTTATAACTCCTAGGCTTACAAGTTATAACCACAGGAATGAAGCAATAAAGCATAGCATAGCATAGCATAGCAAACTCTACCTGACACTGGACATCAATCCCACTATTCTTGTATTCAACATAAAGGCACCTTGAGAATTGATCAATATACCTGAAAACAATCCCCAAAATAAACCGCCTTTAGTTGCTAAAACAATAGATCAAACTCCAGATAAATTTGTCAGGGGTAAACACTTACGCTTTAGTAGCAGCATAAACAGCATAAAGTGGATCAGAAGGGATGACAATAGCAGCACCAGAACCAATATTCACAATTGCACCTTTCTTTCTCTTCACCATCCCCGGCAAAACGGCCTGAGTAACCTTAGTAGTACCTTCAACATTAACCTTAATTAAATTCCTCAACAGCTCCTCGTCAACCTCATGGAAGAACCTTGCATAAGGATACGAAATTCCAACATTATTAATTAAAATACCAACATCCAATCCTTCAATAACTTCTTTGATCTTCTTTACACCTTCATCAAGATCACCAGAGAAGTCGACAACAACTGTCTTGATTTGAATCTTTCCATACTTAGCCAAGATTGAATCAGAAACATCTTTGAGTTTGTCAGGATTACGACCCACCAAGACAAGATTAAGCCCTTTCCTAGCTAACTGAAAGGCAAAACCTTTGCCTATACCATCAGTTGGTCCTGTCACAAGACCCCAGGAACCATATTTCTTGAGATTCTTACCGGGTCTAAGCAAATTGACCCAGACCCATTTGAGAAAAACAAATGAAGATTTCAAGAGTGATAAAGAACCCAAAGTGAAAAGAACAAGAACCCAGAAAGGTTGAGTCTTGAGAGTATCGAAGAAACAGGTTGCCATGGCTTATGCAGAGGAAAAAGTCCAAATTTTTTTGGATATATCAAAAAAAGGAGGAGAGATCTAGCGAGATAAATAGAGTGAACAAAAAGAGAAAATCTTTAGCAAACCTTTTAGTTCGTTTGGGGTTGATAGAGTTGGGTATGGCTTTGACTGTGACAAAGAGAAGAACAAAAAAAACAGAGGCGATATGGTAGGCAGAAACAGATGGGGAGGGGAGGAATGGGATTAAATGAAGGAAATGAAGGATCAGACTTTGGGGAAGGAACAAAGAAGAGGTGGGTAAAGTAGATGAGCTGAAAACCACCTTAAATAACTACTCACGATGACAACCATAACTGAAACGTGGGAGCTCTAAGCATTAATTCGTACCTAAATATGAAAAATTTTATTTTTGAAATACTTTTCACAAAGATCGAACTCTTTGAATTTTAATAAGAAAAAAAAAATAGAAGACTCTTTCTCCTACTAACTATAGATATGATAGTTCCTTCTTTTAATATTGTTTGATTTTCCCTATTTCTTTTCTTAAACCTAGTTATATTTGTTCAGCCAAATTTTTTTTTGTTAGAAAATAAGTAAAAATATCTATTTTGGAAAGCTCAACTATCTAGCAAGTGCTATTGATATTCAAGAAATTGAATTTTAATCCAAAAAAAATTCAAAATTATATTTCAAAATCAAATCAAATCAAATTTACATTGTGGAATTATCGGAAATGGATTTCGGATTTAGAATTAGATTTCTTTTTATTAAAAATGCTTGATAGAATGAAAGTAAAAAGTGCAATAAGAAACAAAGAAAAAATAAACAAATGTTTAGAGAAGTTGTGCTAAAATGAAAATTTAAATAAAATAATTGTGTATTGGAAAAGTATTATTTAAATTGAGATTTCAGGGTATTTTCTATCTTTTAGTTATGCAGATGAATGGAATGTGCCATGTGAGTTGTTTTTTTAGGTATATATTAAATGTGATGTGAATGTTCGATATAAATTATGTAGTTAGATTTATTTTTTAAAAAAATTAATAGAAAAGAAGTAAGTTATTATCAATTAAAAAGAAAAGAAAAGTCTTTGGGTACCTTGCGACCATAAGGAAGATGCAGAATCAAAGCTTTTTTGTGTGGAAGAAGAAAGAAGATATTATGGAATGATTAGCTGGAGAAATGATAATCAATGCTGATTTGCACCTCAACCATATAACTTCGCAACTTTTTCCTTAATCTTATCTTATATTTATGATTTTATTCAACATTAAATTTTAATTATTTTTTAAAAAAATAAAAATGATATTCATATAAATGTATTGGAATGTCAAATTTGGAATATATAAAACCATCCAAGAGGCCTTGAGTTTAGAAAGGAGAGTTAGAGCTCAAATGAGGCAGATAGCAGTTTAACAACTATCCAGCTAAAAGGTTAATGAAGCCTGAAGCATCTTTAATCTTCCATCCATTTTCATTTTATAAGGTTGGTTGTTAGATGAAACTGTTTGTCCTTGGGCTATTAATGATGAAATGAATGGAGGGAGGAGGTGCAGCTCGCTTTTATCTGTTTGCTTTTGGTACAGGAGAGTCAATTAATTTTTCGTTAGGGAATGAAGCGTAAGGGACTGCTAATTTGTATCTTGTTTTAATTAGCACAGAAGTTGGGCTAGCAAGGGCGAGCCTCTTGAGGGGATAGCTTTTAATACGGCATACACCGAAATTAACAAGAATCACATAAATTCGAGAAAACTTAGCCGAGTAAGGGATGCTGTGAAAGTCTACTACTGCAGCCTCAACAAGATCCATACAGAAGCAACAGCTGGCTGCTACCTGCTAGCTGCTGCCTGGTGCCACCATTTTACAGTCAATCTAATTACCTCTTTCTTCAACTTAATACAGCAGGGTTTGATTCCATCTAAGCGCTCAATACTATCAATTTATTTAGTTCTGTCTGCTAAAAGAAACAAGTCCAGAACCTGATTTTTCTTTTTTTTTTTGTTTTTGACAATAATATACCTACATTGAGTCGAATAGCACCACCTTAAGGATTTCTCCTATGGTTCACGTTTGTTCAGATTTCTGACAGTCTTTTAGCAGCTTTCTCTTCCGCATCCCAAGAAAGTGACAGAAAAAGCGTTGATCTTTCAAACCATCTGACAAAGCACTCAGGATAACTGCGGTGCAAAATAAGAATGAGCATACGAATGAATTTGGTGGTTTGGTATATATTTAAAGATCAAATAGTTTAATTATTTTTAAAAAATTAATTAAATATAAAAAAATTAAATTAATTAAATATAAAATTAGTTTGATTAATTTAGTTTTGAATCAATAAATTATAATTTTATTATTTTTTAAATTATAATATTAAATTTATAAATTTCGTCTATAATTATAAATATATATATAATTAATGATATAACTTATATGTTATAATGTTTTACATCAAAATTTATAAAAAATAATAACTAATTATAAACAATATGCTATAAATCTAAAGGGATAGCTAACAAACTATTAAATGTAATCATATAAATAAATTTTATTATAAATTAAAGCAATACTTATATATAAATTAAATATATTTATATATGATATATTACTTTATTATATATATAAAATTAATGATATAAATTATATGTTAAAACGTTTTGTATCAAAGTTTGTATAAATAATAACTAATTATAAATATTATGTTATAAAATTTAAAGTGATAATTAATAAAGTTATTAATTGTAATCGTATAAATAAAGTCTATTATAAGTTATAGTAATACTTATGTATAAATTATATATAATATGACTTTATTTTATGCATATATGAAATTAATTATATAACTTATATGTTATAATGTTTTATATCTAAGTTTATATAAATAATAACTAATTATAAATAATATATTATAAACTCTAAGGTGATAACTAATAAAGTTATTAAGTGCAATCATATAAATTAAATTTATTATAAATTATAGCAATGTTTATGTATAAACTAAATATATATAATATATTTATATAAATATATATATTCATAACATTTTATACTACGAAATATTATTAAAATGTAATAATTATAGCATATTAATATGTAAGATATTTACTATCGTATATTATAATATTAACATATAAGTTATATTATTTAAAATATATAACTTGTAGTTTCATATTAATACAAATTTATAAATAAATATATATAATTAATATTAAATTATTATAATTATGATTTGTATGTGTACATATAATACCCTAATATATTTTAAGTATATTATTAATTAAGTTTGTTATCAATTTTTCTTAATATATATAAAAAATATTATATATATGTATATAATTAGTTTAGTTTTTTGGGTGAATTGGTCCAAAAATTTTAAAATCAAGAATTGAATCAAAAACCAATTGGATCAAATATTTTGGACCAATTAACCAAACGAATCAATTAAACTAAATCATTTTACCTAAATCACATTTGCTTTAGATAGATAATTGATCTTAATTGATTTTGCTAACCCTTAGCATAGAATGTGGCCAATACGGAACACATAAATGTTCATAACCAATCCACCGTAGGCTTGCTTTGCTATATATCTCTGCTGATGGAATGAATAAGGAAGCTTTCTTTAACCTTGACATCTTTGTTGCTATTAGAAAAATTTATGAGAAACAGATGAGAATGAAATAAAGAAAGTAAGATAGTAAAAAGTCTGAGGTGTGGTATCACTGTTTTTAAAGATAATTTTCACCCTTTTAGAGTACAATACTCTATGCAAAATGACTGTAGTAGTTATCCTCAAGGATTCAATAGATCTTTCCTTATAAGGGTGTGCAAACGGTTATTTCAGTTAGTTTAGTTTTGGATATCTAACAATTGAACTAACCGAACTTATATTAAAAATAACCGAAATTGAACCAAATTATATAAATAACCGAATTAACCAAAATCGAAATAATTCGATTAGTTTGGTTCGGTTTCCAAAAACCAAACTTGACAAATTTTTTATTTTTTTTGTTTGTATATATTTATTTATGCTATATTTTTTTAATAAATCAATACTACAAAAATATTAAAAATGATAATGAAAAATTATAATAAATAAGATGGATACTCATATAATTAAAAACGAACAAAAAAGGAGAAGAGATTAGGTTTAGGATTTATTTTTCATGCAAAGTCTCCATAATACCCTTACTTAAGTTTGGTTAGTTCAGTTAGCTTGGTTAGAAATTTTCCTAATCGAAACCGAACCAAATTAATTTTAATGATCGAACTATCCAAAGAACCAAACTAATCGAATCAAAAAAATTGAACTCATTTCGGTTCAGTTCGTATTTGCTCACCCCTACTTCCTTATTGTTTGCACAAACTAGTAAGGGATAACAAAAAAAGCACCAAGAATTTTTTGGAAAAATAAAACCCAGTAGAAAAAGAATTAAAACAAAGAAATACTAAGCAGAGAAGCCTGAAAGGAGAGTAGTATAGAAGTTTTGCTTAGTGAGTGTTGTGACTGAGGTAAGGAGAATGTATTTATACGTAGAAGACGAAGTGAATGTTGCAGCAAATCAAGGGACTTCAGAAGTACCCTGATCAACATGTACTGTATCAGGTAGACGTTAAGAGAGTTTAAGTTTGATTTGATTATACTCAGTCAGGCAGATGTTGGTGGAGTTTGAGTCTGATTCAATCAAAGGTTAAGAAAGCTTGTAAAAAGAAAAATACTAAAGCTTAGGTATAAAATTAACTTGGGCCTAGCCCACAAGAGGAAAAATCTGAATTTTCTCAAGGCTTAGCTCAATCTTGTGTGCGCACGAGCCCACTCTTTTTTTTTCTTTCCAACAAACCCATAATGGATTTGCTTATTTGAAGCACTCACACCTTTATGTACCTAACCAATGTGAGATGTTTGAACTTTAAGAAATAAACTATATTTTCAACAATCTCCAACATATTTCATAAAGTTTTATAAGAAATTTTAGATGGGTCAAATTTCATTTGAGTGTAATATATCATGACTGGTGCTTTGAAAGCTATAAACTAACCCTAGAAAGAATGAAACATAAATCATAGAATTTTGATAAAGTTTATAATTTATATGAATAAAATTTTTTTTATGTAAAGTCTAGTTTTCATCAATCACATTGCACCCCACAATTTTTACTGTTTAATGTGGTTTTCCGCGAATAGGCCATGCACGTACCTAGTTATTCAAAAGTGCTTTAAAGAATCTACAATAATTCTCATAGAAATGGCCTTATTCCACACTTATATAGGTGATTCCATCAAATGTGTACTATAATTTAATATACTATTCATAAGGGATATAGAATTCATTGTGAGTTTAACTCAACCTTTCTTGCATTGCGATTTTACACTATTCACTCACCATAAAAGGGATAATAATTTTAATAATGTATTAATTTATCAACAAATAACTTGTTATTACTCATATGAACCTAATTCATGGGATCTTCAATCACATAGGTTGGGTTACCATTATTTGTTGATTTACTCAATTAGCTTAAGTCCAATGCCCCTCAATGTGTCATTACTCAATTTTCTTCCTAGAGGTTTAGTCAGAGGATAGACCAAATTCAACTATGACTTCACATAATTAATGGATACAATTCCATCTCTAAGCAGATACTTTATTACATCATGTTTCAAACTAATGTGTCAATTCTTACCATTCAAAGTTTTATTCTTCACGATGGCCATTGCTGCTTGGTAATCAGTATGCATAGACATAAAGGTGTTGGTTTCATTTCCAACGAAATATCGACTAAGAGGTTTCTCAACCACTTAGCCTCATTTTCAGGCAACTTTAAAGCTACAAATTCTAACTCTATTGTAGATTTAGTAATTATTGTTTGTTTGGCTGATTTCTAAGTTGTAGTACCCCCAACAAAGGTAATACATAACCACTTGTGGATTTTATCTCATCTGAATCCGAGATCCAATTAGGATTACTATATCCTTCTAATATAGTGGAAAATCCATTATATAAAATATCATAGTTTATAGTATCTTTCAAATATTTTATCACTCTACTCAAGGCAGTCCAATGATCTTGATTGAGACTTTGTGTATATCTGCTCAGTCTACAAACAACATAAGCTATATCAAGTTGAGTATAATTTATCAAATGCATCAAACTCCCAATAATTTGTGCATACTCAGACTAAGCTACATTATCACCTCTATTTTTCTTTAATCAGATATTTTTATCATAAGGAATACTCACAAGTATGACATCAAAATGTTTAAACTTTTTAAGTAGCCTCTCAATATAATGCTTTTTTGTTAGCATTAAGTCACTATCGCATTTTATGATTTTAATACCCAAAATAACATTGGTTTCTCTAAGATCTTTCACATCAAATTTTGAAGTGAAGAAACTTTTGATTTATTGACCACATCAATGCATGTACCAAAAATAAGTATATCTCATCAACATACAAGCTAATGTCAAACATTTAGTATTAACAATTTTTGTGTACACAAATTTATCAACTCCAACAGTAGAAAATCCATTACCAATAAAAATTTGATCAATTTTCTCATGCCATTGTTTTAGTGCTTGTTTCAAGTTATATAAAGATTTAATTAATTTATAAAATTTGTTTTCTTGACCAGAAAGAACACATCTCTCAAGTTGTACAATATAAATTTTTTTTTCTAAATCACTATTTAGAAAAGCGATTTTAACAGCCATTTGATGAACAACGAGTTTTTAAATTAAAGGTAAGGCAAACAAAATACGAATAGATAAAATTCTTGTTACTAGAGAAAATATATTAAAATAGTTAGTATCTTGATTTTGGGTAAAACTCTTTGCAACTAATTTGACTTTGTATTTCTCAATAAAACCATCAAGATTAAATTTTCTTTTAAAAATCTATTTGCAACCAATTGATTTGGCTACAGGTGGTGAATCAACTAATTCTTAGGTTTAATTTTGTAAAATTGAACCAATCTAATTTTGTATAGTTTCTTTATAAAATGGACTTTCTTTAGAATAAATTGCATCAACATAAGTTAAAGGATTATATCAGCAAAATAAGTATAAAAATCATTACCAAAAGAAATTTCTTTTCTTAGTCTTTTACTCTTTCTCAAATTATTAATTTGTATTTCAAAATCATTTTATTAAAATGTGCATGAGAAATTGTATCAGTTCTCAATGAATAAATATACTAAAAAATTCAGCATTTTTTGTTTCAACAATTGTATTATAATCAAGAATATCACTTTTTTAATACAAGAAATTTATGTGCAGCACTATATTCAGCATAACCAATAAACATGCAATTATATCTCTTAGAGCCCACTTTTCTCTACTTAAAATCAGGAAGTATTGCTTTAGCAAGACACCTTTACACTTTCAAATATTTTAAGTTAGGAGAATAGCCTTTCCATAATTCATAAAGTGTTCTACTAGTTTTCTTATAAAGGAATTTTGTTTTGAATATGATATGCAGATAATAAAACTTCACCCCACAAATTTTAATGTGCATTAAAACTAGCAAAGTTCATCATTTCTTTCAATATTCTATTTTTTGTCTATTACACCATTTGATTTAGGGGAATATAGAGTAGTAATTTCTTGAATTATTCTTTTTTTTTTCACAAATATCATTAATTGGTATATATTCACTCCCTCTATCTAATCTAACTATTTTTATCTTTTTATTAAGTTGACTTTCTCAACTTTATACTTAATAAACATGTCAAAAGCTTCATCTTTATGCCTACGTAAATAAACTTTAGTAAATCTAGAATAATTATCAATAATGTAACATAGTATTGCTTACCACCTTTAGTTATAGTTTGTTTTAGATCCCCTAAGCTAATATGAATTAAACTTAATAATATAGATTCTTTATTTACTAAAATACCAGTTTTCTTAGTTGATTTCGTTTCAACACATATTTCACACTTATTAAGCCATCCATTTTTAATACTAGAAATTAAATCTAGTAATTGCATTTTTTTAACCTAGGGAATGCTAACATTTCTTAGTTTACCATACCATAAATCAATAGAGTCAATCGTATAAACGGAATAATTAGCATTTTCATTCAAAACATTTGAAACGTTAAGTACAAAGAGTCCTTGATTGCAATATCCCTTACTTAGAAACACATTATTTTTTGTCATTATGATCTTGTCGGATTTGAATGACACTTTCACACTAACCTTGCCCAATGAAGCCACAAAAACTAGGTTCGCATATTAGGAACATGTAGAACATCATTCAAAGCTAGGGTCTTGCAGATATGAGCTTGAGAAGGACTTTCCCTTTTTTAAGAACTTGAGCAAGTCAAGAATCACTAAGGTATGTTATCTTTTTTCTTTCTCCTACTAGAGTATAAGAGGTAAAGGTATTTCTATTTACACAAATATGCCTAGTAGCACTTGAGTCTATCACCTATTCTTTCACACTGGCCATCATATTTGACTGTGAAATGACTGCAGCAATTATATTATCAAATTCATCTACTTTGACCAAGTTGACTCTGGGATTAACAGGTTTTTCATTTCCCTTTGCTCTCTTTCTACATTATGTTGCATGATGCCCTAACTTTCTACAAACAAAACAACTACCCTTCTTTTTGAAGGTGGGATGAGGAGTTTTGGATTTATAATCAAGTTTATAAGGGTATCTCTGTTGACATTGGGTTCTACCTTGTACCAAATTGGCCTTAGTTGCAACTTCTTTAGCTTTGGAGGTCTTAATCTCCCTTGGGTTATGTCTTCAATGATGATGTGCACAATCAAATTTATAAGTAACAACTGCTTTTCCTTGTGCTTTAGTTATTGCTTGTAGCTATTCCAAAATTCTGGCAGCTTCTCATTTAGCAACCCAAAAACAAACTCTTCTTTCAAGTTGATTTTTTTAGCTTTTAAATTATCCACCAGCTTGTGGTATTCATTAATCTAACTCTTGATGTTCTGGTCATTTGTCATCTTCTGGTGATAGAAATTGCCAATCACAAACTTTTGTTTCCTAACATCTTCAGTAGTGTACTTGGCAATCATTGACTACAATATTTGCTTTGCTTCTTTGTACAGATTGTATGCATCAAACTACTTATTAGAAAACGTGCTAATGATCTTATGCCTGCATACCTTATTTGTATGCATCCATGGTTCTAGTATCTTGACATCATTTGGTTTGAAATTAATTAGTGCAAAAGCCAATCCATGAACATCAAGGATTAAAAAAATCCTTTCTTGCCATTTTTAAAAAATTTTTGCCATAAAAAATCTCAATTTTGAAAATATTTATAAATAGTTTAGCATATCAAACTGAAGGCATAGGAGGAACAGTCAACGGAGTGGGAGCCATGGTGGAACCATTAATAGTGGTGATGGCAGTAGAGACAGAAACAACAGTAGAAACAATGGCAATAGCATTATCAACGTGGGAATCCATTGCCCTTGAGATTGTTAGAAAAATTTCTAAAAAACAAATGAAAATAAAAAAAAAAGTAAAGACAGTAAAAAGTCTAAGGCATGGTATCACTATTTTTAAGGATAATTTTTAGTCTTTTGGAGTGCAATACTTAGTGCAAAAAACTGTAGCAATTATCTTCTAGGATTCAACAAAATTATTGATGGAATATTCAGTCAATACTTTATTGACAAAAATTTCGTTATTGATGGATTTGCCATTATTGAAGACAGTAATTTCGATCAAATATCGACGAAAATTTTCATTTATAATTTCATTAGTAATGTGACATACTAACAGAATCAAAACTCTTACCGTTAGAAATTTTTGCCAATTAATGCCCTTTTTTTTATAATGAGTTAAGTGAAACAACTTACCAACCAATTGTCTAGAGTTGGTTGAGTCTTCTATTAGGAATCATCACTACATCTAGACATTTTTTTACTAGTAATCATCTAGAGTTGATGTTGATTTGAAACCAAGAAACCTATATTCATCAAGTGAATCCAATGTGTACTTCTTCTAGTAAACTGATATGCCCTTCACTTATCTAGAAATCTCCAAGCCAAAGAAATATTTGGGATTTCCCAAATCCTTCAACTTGAGTGTTGTTAGACTTCATCTGCAAATGTTATAGAGGAGCTAGCTACCAACATGTCATCAATAGAAACTAAAATAGCTATAAAGTTATTGACAATACCTCTGGTAAATAACGAGTAATCTGATTTTATTTGAGTAAAATCAAACTAAATAACAAATCTGTAAATTTTGAATTTCATTGTCGATAAGTTTATTTCAAGGCAGAGTGATTTATCTTAACAAATAAAATGTTATTTACTTTTTTTAATAGTATTTTTAAATCAGTTGTACATACTCCAATAGAATTTGTTGCAAGGATGGAACAAATTTAAGGAGTTGAGATTGATTTATAATAGCATGAAAAATATTAACCTTGAAGCATAAACAAATAAAAACAAATTAGGCAACAAGGTCCCGTCTCCTGCGGATGCCTACAGACAGACGCCAAGCATCAAGAAGAGCATCGGGTAGCAAGCGCGCAAAACACCACTGAATGGCGTGAGACCAATAAGGCGTGCACCGCGGTTCGTAGCCGATGTGGCGGATCCCGGCTTCCGCGTAATCATTCGGCGTCGGCACCAACCACGAGGATTTTTCAATTAGTGCTACCTTGGATGCCAAATTTGTTGCCACGTATAGCGGCACCTATTCAAAATAATTCATCAATTCCTTAATTAAACTATAAAGTTGAGATTATAAGATGTTGTTCAAGACGGAGAGGCAACCGGCGCCGATCGGATTAATATAAGAGCCGTCGTACCTGACACTGCACGTCAATGCCACATAGCTTGTATTCCACATAAAGAGAACGCGATAATTGATCAACGTAACTGTATGTCACATCACAAGCAAACAACAAAACAAAGGAATGTAGCAATACAAAATATTCAAAAAATTAAAACAACCAACTTTCTCTTCTCATCCCACATCATTATCTTAATTATTTAAGATCCATTTTTTCTACTTTTTTTTTTATAAACAAAATAAAAATAAACAAATAGAGTCAAAAACATCAACTAGACAACATCTCAGTCAAGAAAAGCAATAATTAATTTTGTGTAAGTGGACCCTATTAATTAAAAGGTCGAAATTGAGAGCTGAAACCTAGAATTTTGGTCACGTCACACTAAGTTAGATTTTATACTTGTCCCTGTGGTGGCGTATTTATTTAGCTTATAAAAGATAATTACTGTTTTATTTTTTTTTAACAAAAAAGCAAAAGTACTAAGTCCTGACACTTTTGTTTTATTTTAGTTTGCGTCCTATATGTATTCCTACTTGTTTTTTCTTTCTCATTTTTAATTATCCTTCTTAATATTAATACCATCTTTGTAATTAATTAGACTACTCTATACTGTTTGTTTTCTTCTTTCTTTTTACATGAAATTGAGTTAATATGTGTTTCCAACCAACCTGAAACGATGTGATAAATGAATTGAGAAGCTTACGCTTTCGTAGCAGCATAGATCGTGTAGAGAGGATGTGAAGGCACAACGATTGAAGCTCCAGACCCGATATTGACAATCGCACCACGCTTCCTGTTTAGCATCCCCGGTAGCACCGCCCGTGTGACCCACGTAGTCGCTTCCAAGTTCACCCTAACAATTTCCATCCACACTTGCTCATCCACCTCGTCGAAGAACATGGCTCCCGGGTACGTTATCCCCACATTGTTGATCAACACACCAACTTCCACCTCCTTGATAGCCTCTTCTATCAACTTGACACCCGCCGTTACATCGCTGGAGAAATCATGGGCCACATCCTTGATCTTGATATGGGGAAGCTCTGCTCGGATTTCATTCAAAACTACTTTCAGCTTGTTCGAGTTCCTGCTGACCAGTATCAGGTTGAGGCCTTGAAGGGCTAGTTGGCGTGCAAAGGCTTTCCCTATGCCATCAGTGGCTCCAGTGACGAGAGCCCATGAGCCGTACTTGTTGAGGTGCTTGGGGGCTCTGACAAATGTGTCGGAAACCCATTTGAGGAGGGAGATGGAATGCTTAAGGAGGGAGAGGAAGCCTAAAAATGAGAGAAGAAGCAACCAGGTGAGTTGCATTGTGAGACAGTTGATGCTTGCTGATAGCGTCTTCTGATCTTATATTGCTGAAACTTAGCGAAAGTTAAAGATACGCTTGGAACTTGATTTAGATAAGTCAAGTTCGTTAATTAACCTAGGAGGGTAAATGCGGTGATGACAAGTATCATCTAACTATCTGTGTTTCATTCAATTGTAAGCTGAGGAGCCTTTTCTCCATAACTTCTGTTGTCCACTAATTTTCAATACATCTACATGTGTCCATATTTATAAATAACAAATAATAATTTATTACAAAAGTAATATATTAAAAAGTAATAGAGGGGAGTTGAATTCAGGATTTTTCATTAAGTTTAACGTGAGATATACTTAACATTTTACAGTAGAAGTTACAATGTCAATGTATCCCATTTGTAATCTTGTTATTATAATTTATATGTAATTATTAATGAAAATTAGTATAAATTTGGACGGAGTGATGAGCTAATTCAAAACATAACACATTAAACAAAGCATGCACTAAATGTAAACTTATATTGGTACAAATAAATCTTAACAAATATTGTTTTATAAGCAAGAAGACAAACGGTAACCTGCATCTGCTGATATAGTAAATGTGCATTTATTTACTGGTTGGTCAGCGGACTTAACTCTGTACGAGGGAAATTTATGCCATCTATAGGTTTACTTCCATCAGAAAAAATCCAGCAAAGTGGAAGTTTCGTTCACCATAATCTTCATGCTTGCAAATTTAGTCAGTTTCTAAACTAAATTAAATCATATTATTATTCATTTTAATCAATAATGAATTTAAAAATTTACATGAAAAATAATTAAAAAATAATTATATGAAATCATATGTTTATATATTTTAAATTTTTTATATATAATAATAATAAATTAAAAATTAAAAAGCAACAGCGGTCACTCTCGTCACCACCATAATTCCTCTACTAGCTTTAACACTCTGCATTGAATTACCTAGCAATATGTCACATTCTCTCCGTTGATTTCATAATTGTCAATAAAGAAATGTAGATTAATAATAGTAAGCAACGCTCGTACCAATTCGCAGGGCATGGGGAATATGTGAATAGTTGCAGAGGATCGTGGCGAGATAGCAGCGGCATTCTTGTTCACCATACCAAATGCCGAAAGCTGTAAGCATGCGCATGACCTCTCACGCCAATCACGTGAGCTTCTTAAATACAGTTTCTTTTCATACGATATGACTGTCGCCTTTGTTACTTATCTAGATTAACACTCAAAAGTTTTCTTTCTTTTTCTATTTTTTTTTATTTTTAAATTTAATGCATACGTTAATTTACAAATTTCTTTTGTGAGTAGGCACCAATTACCCTATGCTTACAATGATAACAAAGTAGTTAGCTGTATTATTAGCTATACTATAGTTATTTAATTTACAAATTTCATATATTTATTTAAAAAAGAAAAGAAACGACACAGGAATAAAAGAAAACAGGGCAGCTCATGGGTGGAGTATTTAGTGCTCATCACATGCCTGTGCACAAGATTCAGCAAAGGAAACGGCTTTCAATACCCCAAATTTATTAAAGGAGCATAAAGTTGAAGTTAATTATTGCCCTTAAAAGGCATAGATATGTCCAACTACTCAAAGAGTTTGGAAGCTGGAACATGAAATATGTTGCCACTGTATCTGACAAAGGCATTCCATTCTGTTTTTAAGCCTCTTTTTCCTTAAATCTTTCTTCTCTGCTTGTGTTTCACCATCCACTTAGTAAGAGGTTGATATGCCAAGCCAATGACTATTTTAGATGTATTGAATGGTATATGAGCAACAACACGTATGGATGAGAGCCGGTTTAGCAAATCAGAACCCATTTCTGATATGAATTTATAGTAAACCGAATGACAATTTATAAATCTTAGTTCATTGTGGATATGAATCATGACTATCGTGGCTAGAACCCCGTGAAAAATGGTCCTGGTGAAAGGGATCATCAGTGGCATGAACAGAACTCAACCTGGGAGAGAAGTTATATCCTGCAGTGTGTTCCATCTCATGGCCATTAGATCTCATGCCGGCTTCTTCTTTGAATCTGATGAAGTACATGGATGACCAGTAATCTTTTGCCAAGTTCTATGGTAGAAAATATAGCTTATTTAGACATGAATGAACATAGTTCAAATCACTCAAAAGGAAATCCAATGATAATAATTGTGTAATCCAAGTTAATAACACACCGTTTTCATCAACTGCATCAGTTCATTTAGTGCATTGGTAAAGAGATCGGGATGTGTCAGATCAGTGGTGGTCAAAATTTCTTGCCGGATTCTATGAGATATGTTAACTTCCATTGCTGCACCTGTACAACAAAGTTGGGCAGGAAACTGCATAAAGGCATGACTTGCAAAGTAATAGATGGCAGTTATTAAGCAACATGAATTCTTGCATGAAATAAAAGCTCTGATAAAGGTCAAAATCCAGCTTCATGAACAGAATGGCCACAGAAGATTGATACCTGACTATTATTGATCACTTGGTGAATGTTGACTGTTTTACCACACAACATGAAACAAAAATTCTTATTTGACGAAATTACAGAATAAGATCTAGCTTCAATTTCTTCATTTACAAATACATTCACAACCCCCATATGTTTACCTAATTAGTCTAACCAGAATACAGACCTGCTCTAGAATCAAGTTCAGGTGGATCTGCAGTAATCCATGAACTTGGAATGAAACAAGGACTTAAGACGCAGATGCCCATTAGATAATGGTAAAAGAGGTAAGTTTGAAGGAGAAATAGGAAATGTTAAATGGCTGCTTTTAAACAACTAGCAACTGTAGGCTCATAAGTCATGAGATTGTTTCTGGATGGTAACAGTATAATGGAGTGGAACCATTCCACATGCGTTCTCTGTGTTGGGTAATCATAATTACTAACAGTTAGCACAGCTCATCCTCTTGCCAAAAATTCAAAAACAGGGTATACCAGTTTCTTCAGAGTTTGCATGTCAAAATATCTCAAGTTAGCAATATTGGCACAGAACATCACTCCTCGGTACATAACCTTTTAAAAGTTGCAGCTCACTACAAACATTAACATTTGAACCATCTATCCATATCCTGCTACTGAAGATTGTTCTTCTGAGAAAAGGCAATCTTCTACATTTGGAGATTAAAAAAGAGATTTTAAGTTGTATGAACTTACTTCTCCATAGCACAAGACTTAAGACTGAAAATATAATGCAGAGAAAAAACTGACAAACTAAATTCCAGCAGTGCTTCCTCAGAAAAAACAATAACAAACCTGCAATTATGTATTTATTAATGATATGTCGTGTCATGTAGATCCTTCTTATAGGGTCATCTATTGGAATTTTTCCCAGCTCATGCACCTCTTCAAAGAAATGCACACTTTCCCCAGCCAAACAACTGTGTTCAAGAAGAAACAAGTTCAATTTAATTTTTTTTTTAACCTTTTAAGGTCATAAACAATGTGTTATTTTAGTTTACACCAGTGAAGAACTTTTGCTGGGAAGACTTTTTTCGTCCTTTTTCTTTTGGATAATTGAAAATTTTTTATCCATCCATTTTCTTCTTTGTAAATTGAATCACTACAAAACCTAAAAAATATTCTGTTGTTTTTTTGGTGAGCTTCAGTAAACAATTGATAAAGAAAATGAAAATCTGAATTCAACATGAAATCTTTTCTTCTTTTCAAATCCAATAAAAATACCACAAAAAAGTAATTAACCACCAAATCTAACAAACAGCTTAGGGAGTATAAAATACCTGTCTGCAAATGCCAGAAAAGACTGACGGAATCTTTTGTTCAGAAGAAGCTTATCCAATGGTTCATTGGGATCAATGACAACAGCTTGTTCTCTTTGCAATAGCAGTCCACTATCTGGTATGCCCAGAGCTTGACCCATTGTTTTGAATTCTAGAGGTTCCCTTTTTCTCAAGCTAATTTGTGAGAGCAGAGGCTGTGAAATTGATATGGAAAAGAATACCAGTACGAGAATGCTGGCCTGTGAAACATACCTGAACCATGTTAGCAAACACGCAAAAGCATAAGGCTTCAATAACTTGTATGTCAACCAACTAATGATGCAGGCAAGCCCATAAAGAGGTAAAGGAACAGATCAACATACTGTAATTAAAAGCAGAAATCTGGAGGCAACTTGAAGCCATGAGATATCATCATGAACTTCATTCAAGATGTAAGCAGAAACCCAAACTCCTGAGAAGTACAAACAAGCACAAGTAAGAAAATGGAGGCCATCATAGTTACACAAAGGAGATATCAGAAACAATCACAAAATGTTGTTATTATTATTTGTTGCAACAAAGCCTGTTTGCTGAAATTATAATTTTTACTGGCTCCTACAGTTTTGAACTCCTTATTAGTTTACACTGTGACGACTTAAGGAAGGGGGAGCATTTAGTTGAATCACAAATGTTACAGCAAGAGTAGGCATGACATCAAAAGCACAAATTCTGTTTCCAATGTGAATTAACCATTGCTAAAGCAACTCAGTTACATGTAAGCTGTTTGCAACTAATCTTTTGCTTTGACCAAATGCACAATGCTTTACAGAGTTTACAACTCTAGCGAATGTATCAAATCATGATAATTATCAATTTCAATCATGAAATTAGATTATCCATAGACTTTTTCTTCCACTTGACCCCTTATGAATTGGTACTATATTTCTTATTAACAAAATTGAGCATAAAAACTGTGAATTCTTTTATTGGTGATGATAAGACAACATGCAATATATGCGGAACAAACTGCAGGAAATGTAAGCCTTATATGGAACCTAGATAAACATGTACCAATAAGTGACGCTGAGACGAGTATTCCCTGCCACAGGTCTCTGAGTTCATCAAACCTAAACTCTATGTGCCGAATTGCCCCTGTGAACATGACTAAAACAGCAACATACAACGCGTGGAGACATACAACTGGGATTATCCAGTAAGTTTGCATGTGACATCTGTAATTGAGAGGCTTCTTCACGTGAATAACTACAGGACAGTACTCCTCCAGTTAAAAATAGGAATCACAGTGGAGTGAGAGCAAGGAGTAAAAAATTTTATCATAAATAAGCTCAATGATAGATCCATAAATTCCAGAGTGTTTATTAGCAAATATCTACACACATATTTAGAAAAAGCATGAATGACTTGAATGCAGCAGTGTTACTTGCACCTGCCACTTTCACATGGTAGTTTATGAGCTTCATGCATTTTGTTAAAAGCATGAACCTAGTAAATGACTAAAAGACAGTCATTCTGACAGCAAGAATGAAGCAAGCAAATATACTTTTAAGCTACCTAATATTTGTAGACAACAATTGCAAATATTAATTCAATATAGAAGTTAACAATATGCGAGAGTTTACGCAAACAGATACAACAACTCATTTGAAGACAGTTCACCAAGAAGGCAGCTTGACTTCATTGCGTTATGTTCAACTTGATAGAATAGGTGTCCAAATAGGAATAGGTTTCTCAGATTCTTACGTGCAGAGCCAGCAATCCATGGCAAGAGAATAAGTGGCAGAAAAATATGAGATCTAATTGGTGGTAAACGTCTCCTGAAATATCACAGCACATAAATTACCAAATTTTGCTAAAATGGCATGTTCAAGAAGATAACAACACCTCTGGCACAACTAAACACTGCAGCCTGATGCAAAAACCAGGGTTTGGCAGCATATTCTAATAAATTATCCAGTTCAGTTTGCAGCGATTTGCTCTATAGCATGCAACAAAGTTTCATAGTAAAAAGAATCTAGTTAAATTCATTGGTTAAAAAATTATAGGAAAACTTTTCACTGAACCATTTCATAGAAAATTAACATAACCAACCATTTCTGAATAATTTGACCAACATGTTTCTGCCTGGTTTAAGAAAAGAGAAAAAAGGTGCATAAGTCAATTCTCTCTTCTGTCATTATCTATTCTCGGTCTTTACAATCTGTCTTACAAATTTCTCAAATAGAAGGACACAGACTTACTTTACGAATACATAGTATAGTTGGAAGGCTTGTGCTATGCGGCAGCTCATCAACAAACCAAATCCAAGTGGACCTTCAACCCATACTGAAAGCAAAACACACTTCAGACTCTTTCATGGAAAAATATAGAGTAACTAGAAAAGTAATTAGAGATTTATAACCTGCCCAAACATAGCAAGACAGCCACCAATGTGTCTTTTTGTATTTGAGGAAATTAAGTGACATCTGCAAAAAGTTTATGATCAACACTAAGGCTAAGCATTAATGAAGCCGATTATTGTAGAGATATATATATAATAACAAGGAAATTGAAGTCTATATTGTCTCACCACTAGTGATAGCAGAAAGGTGAAGCTGGCAATGACTTGAATGACTGGAATCCAAAAGGCACTGCCTTTTCCACTGGGAACCTTGTCCTTCTGTATTAAAAACGGCAAAATTGACTTCACAATGAGTCTGCAGAAAAGGGAAGGCAAAAATCAGAAATAAAAACAGATTGCAAAGAAAAACAATCCCACTGAGGCATAACATCAAATAGATTAAGAAAAACAATCCCACTGAGGCATAACATCAAATAGATTATCATCAAAGAAAACTGCCCCATCTAAAGAATTGAGCCTTTGACTACAAAATGAAATTTTGATTAGTTATATAAAATGGGTTTATGATAGAGATTTACAAAAAGAAAAGGAACGTACAAAATCACGCAGCAGATGGCTATGGAAACGGCCACATAGTCGGAGGGGCAGCCACCATGAACGGCACAGGTTGCCATAGTTTTTTTCACATATGATGGTACTTGATAGTATATCAGATTAAGGAATTAATGTTGTAATTCATCATTTGATGACATAAAAACAGAAAAGTGGAAAAAGAGAAGAAAAGAGAGTAGAGTTGACAAGTCTTTTGTTGGGAAAAACACGGCAGTGTCCTCGTTTTTGACTAACGACTATCAAAGTAACATTTGCCGAAATCAAGGACTGACTTCATTTTTTAAATAAGTCTTTGTAATGTAAGACGTTGCTGTTCAGAAATGATCACTACACTAATTAATTCACTTTATCATATTAAGCCCATGGATTCACGCACGTGTCCTTGGCTCGTGTGTGTTCTTTGCCCTTTGAACTCCAAAATTTTGTACCCATTCTGTCTCAACTCTCAATTCAAGATAGGATTACGAACAGAGTACGAAGCAGGTAAAACTTGGTCTGCAATGGAACTGAATATAGCTGATGGATTTATTTTGGTGTTCCTCTGTCAAATCTTGTACACAGCTGCTCTTTTTGTTGTAATTGTTGCAGTGAAATAAGTACTAACAGAGAAGGAAGGCATCCCCAATGAAAACGTGAAAAATTGTAGCTTTACAGTCGCCTCATTTCACATGGAGAAAACATAGTTTATAGCCTAGACTCTAATTTAAAGTGCATAGAAAAATTCCACGAAAAACATGGAAACACTAGGCACTGAAAAACTTGTAGAAAATTAATTAGAAGGCAAACTAAAAACAAAACAGGATCAGCAACCACAAAAAATTCTAATGGCTTCAGCACCAAGCGCTTTCTGTCTCAAAAAGTTGCAGTGATTTTAAGCCAAGCAAAACCATTTTCTCTGCATTGGAAATAAAAGAAATGAAGTTAGAAATCAAGAGATTTTTATGTGAATTGAACATTGATTGAATCCCCAAGAATCTGTGAATTAAGGTCTGACCTTAATGGAATATTTACGTTTGTTTCTCCCCTTATGTGCACCATTTTTGTGCTGTGATTTTACACTGCCCGCGGTTAAGACTGTAACATTCCCACCAGTTCTCTTCTCATCTCTAGCTATGTTAAATATGGCAGTGAATCCTTCAGCTGAGGCTGGATCATTTACATCCCATTCACCAAATTTTGGCAGAGGCTGTCCCTTATAATACTGCACATGGAAAAAAAAGGGAATATTTTAATCAAATCAAGGCATTCCCACTGTCCTTACTCTGTCTGGGTTTTATTTGATTCCTGAACTGAATGTAGTAAAAAAGAAGAGAAAAGCTGTAAAATTGATAAAGAAAAAGATTTCTTTCAATGTTTGATAGTGAAATCGACAAAAGAAAACAGAGTAAAAGAAAAAACACCCAGAAAGAAAGAGAAGGAGAATAGTAGAAGAGAATCTTACGGATGACATGATGGAAGAGTAACTGGGAAGTGTATGGAAATCTTAGTGGATTAATTGATTGATTAGGAGGAGGATGAGAGACATTCAAAGGAGAGTGGATTTAAATCAGTGGTTTTGGGTTAAAGGTTGGTCAGTGAAATCGAAGAAGACTTTGATTCTCCACACGTATCAAACTCGTCTGAGACGCGGATTCTTCCCATTTCAGTGTCTTTCTCTTTCGTTTCTCCTTTTTCTATATTTACTCTGTTTCAACGGAAAGGTGGGAGACTCTGTCATATTGACTTTACCGGGTATGAAACGGTGGGCTTGAAGGAGACTATAGGATTTTAGTGCGGGTTTTGAGGGATTAAGAGCCACCGTACCTTGTTTACATTAGGGAACGACATTTAGCTTGCATCCAAGGAAGAAGCATACTGACGAAAAATTTACTCTTTATAAACAACTTGACATGTTTCTGTTTCTTGTTTTTCATAGGTCAATTATATACAAGTGAGAGTAATTACATTATGCATGCCACACATTCGTGACAGTAATCACGGCTTTAAATCTAAGAAATTTCTAGTCTGGCAATCACTTGCGCTAAAGCCCAAATGGCATCTCATTCTCACTCTACAGACTTTGATGTGTACCGCCAGAAAACCCCTCCAACTAGGTTGTTCAATGCATGAGAAGCCATGGGCACGATAAGGCTTGAGGATAAGATTGTTGCATAACCATACACAATCCCAACAAAGGTTGCCCTGAAACAGGAACACGCACCACATCATGATCATACAAACCCGTGGTAACTAGGTTTCAAGATTATTCTAAAACTTCTATAAGCCTCCATTCTCAAAAACTTTCGGCATATTTGTAGCAGTTGGGAGCAAAAATTGAGCATAATTGTTAAGACGTAAACCATGAGAACAGAATTGATCGATCCATGATGTTATCTGGAAGATATCTACCACTAAATCAATAAGATTTTTGATGCATACCACACTGCAAAGGAATGCTTTCTCCCATCGCCCAGGTGTAGAACGCCAAAAAGAGTGGCAACAACTAAGACACTCTTCCAGTCAAATCCAAAAATTGGGAGCAGTGCACCACGAAAAAGTAGTTCCTGGATATTGCGTGCATTCAGCTGGTAAGATAAATCACATATCTAGAATTACAGAAAACAAAAGTGTGATGGAAACTGTTAAAACTTACCTCACTCATCCCAGGCAAAAAAGCAACAACTAAGTAATCATAAGGTTGAAGTGAAGAAAGAACCTGCAAAAAAAAGAAAGATGTTGTTTGAGTTCAGCAAACCTGTCAAAGATCAGCATATGTTTGCAGACAGAAGGATAAAAAAGATATAGTTCATGCAGAACGGGATTCAAATTATTAGATCATCTAAACAAATGTAGTTTTAAAAAGATAATAATAACAGATTCTACATATAGGCTCAAAGTGTTTCTGTTTATCCAAACGTTAATACGCTAAGCTATAACCCGAACTTCAAAGTGAAACCAGGAGAAGCCCGAGTAAAGACACAGGCACAAAGCAGAGTAGGCTACCTACCTGCTGATTGGCTGCTTCACTTGACTCAGCAAAATTAGGCCATGTCTTCAATAGTACATAACGACATGATGAAATTAGGATAACCAATGCAGTGATCAGCTCAAGATGCCACATCTCAAAACCAACTGCAAACAATTGGAGAAGCAGTGACTTTTTGGTATATGATGGACCAAATTCTTCCAAATAGCATAATAGGAACACAGATGAGCATACTTGCATGCTCAAACACAGACAAGAGACCTCAAAAAGTGCACTTCATATCAAAACAGAATCCTCCAGTTTCTTCATACAGCACTAGACCTAAACTGTTTTTTCAAGTAACAAAACCATTTTCATGATTTTAAGAACTGGAACATAGTTCATCACCTAGGAATTTTAATAAAGAAGCCTTGTCTCAGTTTCTATGCAGAGCTAATGATTTCATTTCAAGCATGTGATAATTTCTATGTCATTGAAGCGTTGATCAACAACAGTTGTCGTTCAATTGTCTTTAATATTTAAGCTGTATTTAGGGCATTATTTCTTCATTTTAAGAAATAACTCCAGGCCAGAGTACACTATGTCATTCTACAAGAAATGATAAAGCTGAGACTTTGGGTGCCTTTTTTCATTATGTCACATGTAAAAGTTTTCTGAACAGTGGAATCCATGGCTTCCTCATCTGTGTAGCACCAACCAGTTTTGCAATTTTTCACCGGCTCTAACCTGATTCGAGGCCAATTCATGCCCTGTTCTAGAGTCCCGCATGCCATTCTAATCCAACAGTCCACAAAAATAAAGGTACCGAATTAGGACAATAATTTAGATTATCAGACTTATCATTGTGCAGTCAATTTCTGTTTTAAAGGATTCTCTTTCTATGGACGTACAATATGTCCAAACATTGTAGAAGGGAAAGAAAAAAAAAACATCTTTTAACAACCATTTAGGAAGCAAGCTTAAAATGCAATATATACATGATACTTCCATGGAGCAGTCAAGAATGGGCAATCCTTCCATCGACCCAGTATGAGATACCTGATTTGCCAAATAAACAAAATTAACTCACAAATTCCTTGGTTTGGTCATGTTGAACTAAAGAAACTCAAGTTGCTTAAGCTACTAAACCAGTAATTGACAGAAACCAGAAAAAGGAAAAGGGATCTAACAGCAAAGATAAGAATATCAAAATCAAACTAGTGATTGCACGTGAGTAAGCAAACCTGTCTAATTATTAAACCTAGAGCAGCTATCAACGCAGAAGTGATGGTGCAGGCTTGAAGCACATCACTCCTGGAAGGCATGGAAATTGAATTCTGTGGAGCTGAATTATCAAAGGAATACAGACTGTTTCCATCATTAACATTATCATCCTTTGCAGGAGACGTGTCTGCTAGGACACGGCTGTCATCTGGCAAAGTCTCTTTAGTTCGCAAGGTGACACTTTTATGCGGTTGTCCCTCTCTTCTCAATTTTTTCATTGATTTACGACTAGCAAAGGCCCTTATACTAAATTTAGTACCCTGCAGAGGAAAAGCATCTATATATAAAAATTTCTAGGACCAGAACGTTATTGACCTCATCATATACAGCAATACCAGGTAGCTTACACTGACTGATTTTAGGGGTGAAAGCTCTTTGACACCATAGTACCCAACTAGCTTCCCACCTATTCAATATCATCAATTTTTGCACAATTAAAGGAAGAACAAGAATAAGAACATAACAATGAATGAACAAAAGTCTTTTGACTAATAATTTAGTTCTTGAGACCAAATCTTATACATAGTGATGCAAAAATTAACATGAAGCATCAAAAGTTTCCCAATTTTATCATTCTTTTACCATCTTTTTAAGTAAAATTTCAGTGAAGCAAACGGAATCAGAAAGCAAACTCATGGAGAAGAGGCACTAACAGTTTATAGTGAGCAAACCCA